AGTGTTAGGGTTACGATTAGGTTAGGGTTACCATAAGGGTTAGGGTTAGGGTTAGTTTTAGGATAAGGGTTACTGTTAGCGTTAAGTTTAGGGTTAGGGTTAGGGTTACGGTTAGTGTTAGGTGTTAGGTGTTAGGGATATGGTTAGGGTTAGGGTGAGGTTTAGGGTTATTGTTAGATTTAGGGTTAGCATTAGGATTAGGATTTGGCATTAGCGTTAGTGTTAGGGTTACTGTAAGGGTTAGGGTGAGGGTTAGTTTTAGGGTTACAGTAGGGTTAGTGTTAGTTTTAGGTTTAGGCTTAGTGTCACGGTTACGGTTAGTTTTAGTGTTAAGGTTTGGGTTAGGGTTTAGTGTTACGGTAAGGGTTAGTGTTAGTGTTAGTATTAGAGTTTAGTGTTAGTGTGAGCATTAGGGTTAGGGTTAGGGTTAGGTTTAGGGTTAGTGTTACCATTTGGGTTAGGGATAGTGTTAGGTTAGGGTTTAGGGTTATGGTAAGGATTAGGGTTAGGGTTAGTTTTATGTTTAGTGTTAGGTTTAGTTTTAGGGTTAGGGTTAGTGATAGGATAAGAGTTAGGATTAGGGTTAGAAGGTAGGTTTAGTGTTAGGGTTAGCCTTATTGCTATGGTTAATGTTAGGGTTAGATTTTAGTGTTAGAGTTATGGTTGGTGTTAAGATTAGTGTTGCAGTTAGGGTTAGGGCTAGAAAAAGGGTTCGGGTTAGGTTTAGGGTTAGGGTTAGTGTTACGGTTATGGTTATGGTTATGGTTATGGTTAGAGTTAGGGTTAGTTTAAGGGTTAGGTTTAGGGTTAGAGTTAGATATTAATTTAGGGTTAGCATTAGGTTTAGGGTTAGGGTAAGAGGTTAGTGTTAGTGTTAGGGATAGGGTTAGGTTTAGGATGAGGGTTAGGTATAGTTTTAGGGTTAGAGTTAGGGTTTATGGTTTCTGTTAATGTTAGGGTTAGGGTTCAGTTTAGGTTTAGGTTTAGGGTTGGGGTTATGTTTAGGGTTAGGGATAGGGCAAGTGTTAGGATTAGGGTTAGAGGATAGGTTTAGTCTTAGGGTTAGGGTTATTGTTAGGCTTAGTGTTAGGGTTAGAGTTTAGTGTTAGGATTATTTGTTAGGGTTAGAGTTGGGTTTAGGTTTTGGTTTAGGGTTAGGGATAGGGTTATATTTAGGGGTTAGGTGTTAGGGATAGTTTTAGGGTTAGTGTTATGGTTAGGGTTAGGGTTAGAGTTAGTGTTAGTGTTAGGGTTTGGTTTAGGGTTAGGGTTAGGGTTACAGTTAGTTTTAGGGTACGATTAGGTTAAGGTTAGGGTAAGGCATATGGTTAGGGTTAGGTAACCAGCAGGACAAGAAGGGACAATGAACCTGAAGATGTAATGATTAAGGAGACCAGGAACACAAAGTCACAGGGCTAACAGAGAAACCTTAGGAGACCAGAGAACGGACAGTGTCCAAGGCCTGAACCAGGTCATGGTTAGCACAGTGAAGGCCAGGTCCAGTCTCCACAGAGAAACCTTAGGAGATCAGAGAACGGGAGCTCAGAGGTCCAGTCTCCAGGTGGGAAATGTTTACAGAAGAGGATGCTGTAGAGAAGACAGTGGGGCATAGGTGGGCTGATGCTCGGGTTTTACGGAGACTCTGTTTGGTTTATAGAGTCCATGCAGAACCTCAATGCTGCCTGTGTTAGAAAGTCCCCACATCTCTATCATTTTTATGATAAACTTTAAAGTATCCAAAGTTGTACAAAGGCCACCTCATAGGAAAAAACCAGAATTATATGTGAAAACAAGATCTTCCTTGTGAACATATAAATGTCAATAACAATTGTGGCAACATGCTTTCCTAAGGCTATTTGCTTGGTGATTTTGGTTGTGTTTCTGCCACCAGTTGCGATCAGTAGCTGGGTTCATAGCAGCATTACAAGTGTGTATTGCAAGATCATTAGAGCCCAGGACACTTTATTTCTGTAGCATGGAGAATGGCTTGTGTGCTGTGCTTGCAGGGGCTGTGCATGCTGTGGCTGGGGCAGGGCTGTGTGCGAGGGTTAATTCTAATGACTGCAAGTGAAGTAGATCTCCTTAGGAGGATGATGGAAATGATGTTTCAGGAATGTTCTATATGAGCCCATTTTCATTATAAAATAAAAATAATGGACACATTAAATGCCTGGAGATATCTGTAACAGTTCTGCTGGTGTTGAAAACGGTCACATTGTTGTAAGGAAAATATTGCAATAAATAGTTTGAAAGAGGCTGAACCAAGTTGCTGGGCACTTGCAGTGCATGAAGCTGACCAACAGAAGGCAGCACATGCACACTTCGGTAGATAAAACCTTTAGTTTCTTCCTTCTGCTCAAGGGGCTGTGTAGTGGGGCAGGAGGCAAGACAAGACTGGGTCCTGCTGGAGATTGGGCCTGGTTAGACCAGGGTAGGGAGGGGCTCCCAGCCCAGCTGGGGGTGGGACACTGACAAGCTCAGCTTTGCCTGCTGTGTCAGGCCTTTGTTCACACAGTGTTACCCTTCTGTTTTCAAGTTTAGCATGGGTTTCAAGTTTCACATGGTAAATTCCCCCATGGAGACTGATAGATGACTGGAAGGCAAAATCACTGACTAATCATTCTCACCACAGAATTTTGGCGAGGAAAGGAGGAGACATAAATGCATGTGGGATATTTACCCCAAGGACCCAAGAGCCATGGCTGCTCGGGCCCTTGTAGAAAACACATCATATTTGTAGAACCTGCATGTGTTCCTGCATAGATGCTTTGAGTCCTCTCTGGATAACTTACACTTAATACAGTGGCAATGCTATGGGAATAGTAGTTTGCTCTTTAGGAGATACACGAAAAAACATTTGCATGTATCCAGTACAGACAGGACTCCCCTCACCCCGGTGCTGGAGGTGGAGCCCAAGGCCTTCACACTAAGCTCTGTCCCCGGCCCTTTGTATTTTGAGGCTGTCTCAGTAAGTTGCTAAATTGCTTAGGCTGGACTTAAACCTCAGCCTCACAGTGTTGGAAGTATAAGCACACATCACCAAACCAATTCAGATGCAGATTTTTAAAGAAATATTCTCAGTCTGCAGTTGGTTCACTCCTTGGATGTAGAACCCATGAGTACAAAGGACCTGTGGTGCTACTTGAGGACAGTTTTTCAGACCCGTGACACCTGACAGAGCAGGAACACACAGTGGGCGGAGGTAGCAGAAGGAAGCAAGCAGTTCCTCTGGGAAGTCCTGGAGAGTCCTCACCTCTACAGCTTGCAGGGGTAGCTCTCAGGGGTGCCTTGGGTCACCTCCACTCAGCCCTACCTGGGCTGCTCCCAGATGGAGGGTCTGAAATCTGCTCACCCTTGTTTGGGAGTTTGTTCAATTCAGGCATCCTATCGTCCTCTAGGAATCCACATGTGAACTGTTCTCACGCCTCAAGGACCCCAGTGAAAACCATCCTGTGTCACAAGAGAGCCTCACTCGTCTCACCTGTCCACAGTGTTTGCCGAAACTGGCTGATTAGGCTCCTCCCTGGCTGATGTTCTTGTCATACATTCCATGCACAACAGCCACAGGGATCTTGGTACAGTGCAAGCTCTATGAAGTCTCTCCTCTGCTTGACTTTCTCCAAAGAAGTTCCTATTTCTTTGACAATACACACCAAAGTCCTTGCTGTCCCACGTCAGCTCCTTGATGACCTTGTTCCATCTCTGTCATTGACCTGGTGCATCCCTGCATCCTGGTCATGCCCAGCTTCTTTGACTTCTTCCCTGGCAAGACCTTTTGTGTCTCAGGACCTTTGGACATGCTGTTTCCTCTGCCTGGAAAACTCTTCCCTTCTCATCTTGTTCACTCCAGAACTGCAGATTTTGCCTCATATGTGAATTTCTCCGACATATCTGAATACCTGACTACCTAGATATATTCAGGTCCTATCTGCTCACCAGTAGAACTCTTATTAATTTCTTTATAACATTCGTCTCATTTCCATATATATATGTACATTAATGTGTCGGACCCTCCTCCTCCTTTGGAAGGCTCCTGGGGGCCAGTCCCGCGTGGCTTGTTGATCTTACTGTCCCTGACACACATCTGCCTTCCCTGGGTAGATACAGGAATAACTCACAGATGAGTGTGTGCAGAGATGGCTAAAGAATGGAGAAATGGGTGTGGTTGGACAATGGACGAGTGAGTGAATGAGTGACGGGTGTGTGGGTGATGGCTGGAAGAATGAGTGGAGGGATGAATGAGGGCTGGAGGGTGTAGAGGCATGTTCCCTCCTGCAGAATGGTCACAGTCACTGCGTGCGAGTCCTCAGTGCTTGAGGGACCGGCACTACCTCCCCCTTGTGTGGCTCATTTTTTACTTCTCGCCAGGGCGGGACTGCGAGTTCAGAAACCCCAGGCGTGATTGTCTACTTTGCAGCTCTCTTAACATACCCGTTCTACATAAGAACTTCCTCCAGCCTCCACAGGCTGGCCCGCGCCTGTGGCTTCCCAACCGCCCCAGCCCTGGTGCGGACAGGGGGCGGGGCCAGGGCGGGACCTCGCGCAGACCCGGATGCGGCCCCGCCCCCGGCGAACCGGAAGTGAGCGGGCTCTTTGAGAGCTGCGGGTGAGTCGGGACTGTGGCGGCCCTGCGGGGATCCCGTGGCGTTGAGCGGGCGAGGCTCTTGCGGCTGGGACGGGCAGCCCCAGCGGGCGGTGGAAGCAGCGCCCGGAACAGGAAGGAAGCGGCGGTCTCACCGCGCTTCCGCTTGCCGTTTTGAGCTGGTCGGGGCAGAGCAGGCGAGGCTATCCTGTCATGCATCAGCATCCGAGGCGTGCAGCGGGTAGGAGGGGCTCAGGGTTCTCGGTAGGGGGCCAGGAAGTGAGGTGGTCGGGATCCCAGGCACTGGTGGAGCGGGTCTGGAATGGGCACCTGGGCGGAGGAGGAGCTCGCGGGGAGTGGGTCAGGACTCTGGGGCGGAGGGGCCTGGAGACAGAGGTGCTGGGGCCCCGGGGAACTAGGGAGGTGTAGGTCTGAGGGGGAGGGGCTCGCGGGTCAGGGGGTCCAGAACCCCGGAGAGAGAACCTGCACCGGAGGTGTTCAGGATCCCAGAGGGTGGCGTAGGTGGATGGGGTCCGAGTGGAGAGGCGGGGATCAGAAGTGCTGGGGAAGAGGTGGGGGCCTGAGAAGGGGTGAAGGTCGGAGGGCGCTGTGTGTGGCTGTCGGGCCTTGCGCGGGAGTTCGGGATCGGCCATGCGCGCCTGAGAGAAGTTTGTAAATGGGGTCAGTTGAAATGCTGCAGCGCAGGGGAGCTGGGAATCTCGAACAGGCCCTCCCTCCTGGGTGTGTGCCAAGGCACCAGAAAGGTGCTTGGGTGTGTTTCGCTTCAGTGTTTCGGTGGATGGGATAGGTCTGGCACCAGAGCGACCTTAGCCGCCCAGCTGGAGGGTTTGGGTGGGAGGGGCCCTGTTGGGGCCACTGGAGGCGGAATTTCTGTTTTTGGCCATGCACCTGAGGTGCCTGCAGGATATGCTCAGTTTTGACTTGGCTGGGCGTTCTGTCAGGAGTGTGACCCAGGAGACCCTAACAGCTGATGCAGATAGCAGTTCTGTCCAGCTGGCCTTGCCAGGCTAGGCTAGGCTGTGGAGAGGGAGGGCTGACTAGTCCATTTCTGAACTACAGTGAGTCACCCACTCCAGGGCCTTGAGTCAGTGCTCCTTCTCTCTCTGAGTAGGGAATGTATGTCAGAAGAAATTGAAGAAACAAGGAAGCAGCCTTAGGTTTTAGGGACTTTGAGGTATGCAGGAGTAAAGAGCTGGGGGATACAGAGCTGTTGCTCATATCAGGTCTCCAGTAATTGTAAGTTTATCCTGTCTAATGATGACATCCTTTTTTTTTCCTTTAGTGCTGGAGTTTTTTAACCTGGGGCCTTGAGCATGCTAGGCAAGTGCTCTACTACCTCCCCAGCCTTAAAAACATTTTTTTGAGACAGGGTCTTGCTAAGTTGTGCAGGCTGGCCTTGAATTTGAAATTCTGCTTCAGCCTCCCCCCTGAGTAGCAGGACTACAGGCATGTGCCACTGTGACTGTTGAAAGCTGACTTTTTATGGGACCTGTTTTTAAAGCATTTTACATTTAGAGTAAGCAGACTTTGTGATTCAGACATTTGACCTACCCCATGCAGTAGGTGCTCTGGCATGTGGTTGAATGTGTGCTTCTTTACTAGTGCCTTTAGTGCCCTGAGTCGCACTGTTCCTTGACCTGGGCAACTGATAGCAGCAGACTGAATGCCCATCAGCTTGTGTTTCACTGGTGTCTGTGCCAAGCAAAGCCACTGCTCTCTGCTTAGGCATGAACCCAAAAGTATGTGCTCTGTTATAAGAGGCTTCCTCTGAGTAAGAGTGGGCCTTGTGACATCTACTGTGGCTTCAACAGATGCTTTTTTGCTCCTTTTTGGCTTTTTTCTGAGCTGTCTGCAGTGAAGTTCAGGGAAAGCCGATTCTGAATGGATGCTTTTACCCCATCTCTTACAGCATTCTTTCCTAGCAGAGTTTTTCACCCTGTTTATTCAAGGCAGGATTATTTTGTCTCTCTACACTCTGTGTGTGGGGGGGGCTTTTTTTTTTTTTTTTGCAAGAGAAGTTTGTATTAATGGTGTTTGGTGACAGTCTTATCTTTGAGCAGTAATTTTTTGTAACAGTTTTAATGAAATATAATTTGCATGCCATACCCTCACCCATTCAGAGTGTATAAGTCAGTGGTTTTCATTCTATTCTGAGAGTTGTGTGGCCCTCATCGCTATGCACTTTGGAACTGTGTCATTAATTCAGCAATCCTAGACTGGCTGCTCCTGTTGTCCCAGCTACTCAGGAGGATGCAGGATTGCTTGAGCCCAGCAGTTGGAGGCCAACCTGTGCAACATAGCCAGAGCCGTTCTTTATGTTTTTCAAAAGAAACCCTGTACCCCAGCCATGTTTCCCAGTCTCCCCTTCCTCTAGCCTGGGGCAACCATTATTGTACTTTTTGTCTCTGTAGGTTTGCCAACTCTAGATGTTTCATATAAATGGAATCATATTACTGTATGTGGTCTTTTGTGTCTGGCTTCATTCACATTGTAGCATGTATTATAACTTCATTCCTTTTTGTGGAGGAATGCTATTCCACTTGGTAACTATATCACATTTTATACATCTGTTTGTCTGTTGATGGATTTTGGATTGTTTCCACTTCTTGGCTATTATGAATAATGATGTTGTGAATATTCATGTACAAGTCTTTATATGAACTTGTGCATTGATTTCTTTTGAGTGTATACTTAGAAGAAGAATCTCTATGTCATATGGTAGCTGTTTAACCTTTCCAAGAACTGCCTGTTTTCCATTTCCACCAGGACTGAAGGAGGGTTTCTAATTCTCTTATTACTATTTTTTTTTGATGCAATGTTGGGGATTAAACCCATCCCATGAGGGCCTCACATAGCTAAGCGTCTTCTGTACCGCTGAACTACATCCCCAACCTCCCCCTGGGGCCCTGCCCCACTTTTTTTTTTTTTTTAATAAGATAGGAATCTCTTTGTCTTGTCCAGGCCAGTATTGAACTCCAAACTCACATGAGCCTCCTGCCTGAGCATTTGGAATGCTGGACCTAGTGGGCTACTGTGCCCAGCTCCTTTATCTGTTATTAAATGGGGGTGTGTATCTTTTCTTATTATGGAATTAAAAGAATTCTTTATATATTCTAGATATATAGTTTGAAAATAGATTTCTCTCAGTGAGTCAGTCATCTTTTCACTTATGTCTTAAGCAGAGTTTTAACTTTTGTCCAGTCTGTTTTGTTTTTCTATATAATTTTGGTGTTACTTCTAAGAAACTGTTGTCAAATTTATGGTCTCAAAAAATTAAACCGATTTAAGACATGCATTTATTTACTTACTTATTTATTTGTGCTGGGGATTGTACCCAGCGCTTTGCACATGCTGGGTAAAGGCTGCACCACTGAACTACATCCCCAGGCCTAAATTAACTTTTGTGCATGGTATGAGGTGGGGGTCCAGAGTCTTTCACTTTGGATTAGAAGTTCATTTTCCAGTCAGTTGTTTTTTTGAGCTTTGAAACTTAACATGCTGATAGGATAATAAATGAGTGTAGGTTTCAGCCCATCACTGGCTGCCCTTGGGGAGATTCTTTTTGTTAGTACACATTTGCAGTGATGACATTCAACACAGGGATTTAGTACGTGTGCATAACATATCTTAATTCTTTTTTTAACTTGCTCTTTGGGTAGATTTTTGAAGATGCACCATGACTATACTTACAATGTAGTAGCCAGAATGTACTAAGCAATCCACAGGGACTGCAGAAAGAGAAAGAGCAATAGCTGGGTCAGGACCTAGGTAGGAAAGTGAAGGCCAGTCAGGACCACACTCTCTTTCCTGGGTGGAGATCTAAGCGCTGGTTCAGGTTACTCTGCTAGGACGTTTCATTTTCCCCACAGTGTGTTCCATGGAGCAGTGTGGTGCCCATTGAGGCTGATGTGTGCTCTTGGGGACTAGGTTGTGTGTTGGTGGACTGGCCAGCATGGGAGCTGAATTCCTGTTCCCTGTTCAGGAACTGTGTGGTCACTGGGAGTGCAGTCTGCTTCCTGTGGGCTCCATCTCTGCACACGTCTCTCATGTGGCTCATGTGACAGACAGTACCTATAACACTGGCCTTTCCTCCCAGGCTCATCACGGATCCCTTCAGAGAATGTTTCCCTTAAATCACTTATAAAAACTAACAATAATAGAACTGTATTGTTCTTAGCAGCATTGTGAATTAGAATAAAGAATGGAAAGGTACCAGGATTATAGCAGACAGGAAATGCAACTAAGGCAGTCATTTCTGTTTCCATTAAGTAATGCTGTGTAGTTGTCTTTTGAAACATGTCACTTTTAATTTTTTTTAAATTTTTATTAGTATACATTTGCAATACACAGTGATGACATTCTTCATGGGCAGTTGGTGCATGTGGGTAACATCTAAATTCTTTTTATGCGCCCCCCCAATCTTTATTAAGTTCCTATGTTGAGCTTTTTAATTAGTAAGATGAAGATCTTCCTAAAACCTTTTTATGCTGGGGAGGATTCCTGAGGTACTCTACAAAGCTCTGGAAAGATAGATTTTCCCAGAGGGCCTGGCAGCAGATGTCTGTTTTCACCCTTAATCTTTTTATAGACAGAAGCATTCCAAATGTCTGGACACTCGGTGTTGGCTTATTGTGTTTTAAGTAGAGTTTTGCAAGCAGCGATTCATCACTTGGGAAGAAAGTGTTGTGTATTGTGAACTTTTTAATGTTCTTTCCCCGGGGTCCTAAGGGTAAAACCACTTTACTGAAAAGGAGTGGGAAGTTGGAGGGAGAAGCACCAACAGTTTTCTGAAAAAATTTTCATTGTTGAAAAACAAAAGTCAGGGGCTAGGAATGTAACTCAGTGGTCGAGTGTTTTCTTAGCAAGTACAAGGCCCTGGGTTTTAGGCTGAGCACTAAAAAAAGTTCAATTAAAAACCGAAGCCAAGCTGGTTGTGGTGGTACATGTCTGTAATCCCAGCATTACAGAGGCTGGGGGTCACTGTGAGTTCAAGGCCAGCCTGGACTACATAGCAAGACCCTGTCTCAAAAAAACCAACCAAACAAACAAACAAACTGAAGTCAAAGTTTTAGTGTTGCATCTGTCTTAGAAAAGGAAATTGCAGAAAGCTCGGAAACTAGGGGTAGGAGGCCTTTCTCAGGGGAGTCCTTCACCTCTTTCCCTTGTGTTCTGCATGTGGCAGGAACCACTAGGCCTGATGGTATAAAGCCAGGTGGAAGGTCTCCCCTCCCAGCTTGTGATGCTGGTCTGCAGAAAGATGATCTGATAGGCGTAACTCTTTTCCCTGATGAAACTGAAAGAGGCAGGCAGCTGACTATTTCATCTTCGACTTGGGGTGAATGGAAGTTTTGCTGGCCCCACAGTGGCTCTTGTCCTTTCCAGTGACTAAACCTGTGGTTCCTGGATTTCTGCCTCTAGGCAGCTGCCCTGTGGAGGACAGTGTGTTGCTCAGGGCAGGAAGCGGCCATGCACACAGTGTAATTTTTCATCTGTGAATGGATGATTGGGATCAGACTGTCTGGTCATGCCTCTCAGTGCTAAGGCTTGTTTATCTGCTCTTTAAAATCTGCCAAAGGCAAATCACAGCCGGGAAATTCTTTTTAGGGGGCTGGTGGGGCTCAATACAGTGGCTTCATGTATGTTTATTTATTTTTATTAAGTTTATTGGTATAGTTTAGATACACATGATGATCACATTCATCATAGGGACTTTGTACATGAACATAGCGTACCTTGATTCATTTTTTTCCACATTCCCCTTGCTTCCCTTCAGCCCCTATACCCCTCCTTAGCTATTAGTCCTTTGATAAGAAACAATTGGCTATTTTTTTCCTCACTCTGTGAGTTGTCTCTTTATTCTGTTGATCATTTCTTTTGGTGTGCAAAAGCTTTTTAGTAAGATGAGATCCCAGTTGTTGAATCTTTATAATATTTTCCATGTGATTACGTTTTTTTGTTTGTTTTGTTTTATTTATTTATTTATTTTCTTTGATTTAGGGCCTTACTGTGTAGTTCACACTGGCCTTAAACTTATTATGTAGACCAGGTGGGCCCCTAACTCGTGGTGATCCTCCTTCCTCAGCCTCCCCAGTGCTAGGATTACAGGCATGTGCCTCCACGCAGAGTAATAGGTTTTGTTGATAGAGTCTTTTCCTACCCTTGTGTCTTCAATAGTTCTACCTGTTCTTTCTTCCAGCAGATTTAGTGTTTCTGTTTTAATATTGAGGTCTTTGATCCATTTTGATTTTAACATCTGGGAAGTTCTTGTCATGCTTGGGCATCTAGAGGAGGTTCAAGGTGGTCTCCTTTGAGGGGCATTGTATAGGTCCTGCCCACCTGGTGGCAGATGGGTCTTCACCTAGAGGAGGAGGCAGGAGTTCCATGTAGAGCTTGAGAGCAGTGCACCATCATCCTTCTCACTGCCATCCGGGATGTGGCCGTTAGGCCTAGGAGACCTAGAATGGAAGCTTGGAAGGAGGTTCTCAGGCTGGGAAGGCCTTTTGTCCAAGAAACACAAGCTGCAAGAGCTGTTGTAGTGCTGGAGGAGGGAGGGTTGGAATTCTTAGTTCAGACTGGAGCACAGCTTTTGTTAGTCTAATTAAAAATTATTTTAATTGGTACATCTCTCAGTTACTTTGTAACCTCAATGAAATTTTATGATTATTTTCATTCTCTCTGGAAAATGCATCCATTCTTAATAATTGTTTAAAAGCCCTTGAAGGTTTGAAGTTACAAACAGCATCTTACTGGTATCTGCAGATGTGTCATTGTTCTCTATAACAACAAACCTTACAGAACCAACTTAAAGTGCTATGGATAAAGGTGACTGCTTTCTAAGCCTCCTAACATAGGAGGAGTTGCATCTTCTATGCTGTGCATTTGCCCCAAAACATGACAAGGCAGCCCTCTACTAAATGATTTGAAACATTTATTAAATCATTAAAGTACTTGAAATCAAAGGGTGATGTTTTTAAAAGATTTACAACAAGCTGAGCTCTTAATTCTCAGTTGTTTTTGTCCCTACAGCTGTCATTTAGGTTTAGTGATGATGGAAGGGCATTTGGTCATGTGGCTCCTGCCATGTGTTGCGCTGGCATCGTGGTAACCCAGAGCCTCATGCAATCACAGGGTTTGTTTTGGAAGTGACTGTATCTAGAGTGGGTGATGCTGGGTTTAAGGCTGTGTGATACTGGTTGGTTTGACAGCACCCTAATCCTAGCAGCCTAGAGTGTAAAATGGTCAGAAAGATGCTATTAAGGCTGCTTGCTTGCTTTTGCTATCTTCTGCTGCTCTGAACTTTTGCCCCTGTGCCATGTACAACCCTGTCTCGGAACCAGCTATGGACTGAAACCTCTACAATGTGTGAGCTTTCTTCCTTTAACTTTGGGTGTCAGGTATTTTATCTCAGCAACAAGAAAAATAACAAGATTGGCCACCTGCCGAGCCTCACTGATGTGCTGAACACTGCCCAAGTGGCCAGACCCAGCATCTACCAGGTAAACTGGCATAGGTGGTTAAGGTCAGGATGTGTACCAATGGGGCGTGGGCATATGTGTTTGGATGTGTGTGTGTCCTTCCCACACCTGTCACTGTGTTGCCTGTCCTTAGAACCCATGGAGGGGTCCTGGGGGATTATGTACTGTGGGATTAGCTCTGGAAGCCTGGGTCTTAACTGTGCTCAACATCGGGAACCGTTGGGCCCAAGGCAGCATTGTGGTCACACGATCTATCAAGGTGGCTGCACTGGGTAGAAGAATCATAGACACAACCAGAGACACTGTGCTGGTGAAGAGACACAGCTGGGTTCCGAAGAATGTCATTGCTGGAGAGGGCTGCTCTTGAGGCTGGGGTTTGCAGACCTCAAGGTGGAGCATGCCAAAACCCCAGACTCTGCTTCCTTACTTTACTACCTGGTAGACATGTAACATACAGAAGATTCCTGAACCTGTGCTCCCTGTATGATGGGGGCTGACAGTGTTGGTGATTGCGACTCTGGAATGAGCCAGTTTGGGTGACAGCAGCTGGTACCCTGTCTACACTGTATGCATACATCGGTGTTGATTCTGAGTCTGTGTTATTACTAAAATAGACCTTTCTATGCTTTAGTGTATTGACAAAATAAATATTTTTTGTCCTGATTTGTAGTTCTTACAGTATGAAAAAGCCTTTTTTCAAGAGAGTAAATGTATTGCCAGCAATGTCCATGTAAACGGCTCTTAGGAATTGTGTGGTCAGCTGCCATTATCTCTTTTTTCCATGCCCTGTTGCATCTAAAGCTCCACTCTAGGTCAGGCGTTGTGGTGTGAGAGCCCTGCAGCTGCATTGGAGGAACCCTGCACCAGAGACTCAATGGCTCAGGCTGCAGTTTGTCCCGGGATTCTGGCCATGGGTGCATGGAGGAAATGCCTGCACCTGGGTTGTTAATGTTGTGCTAGGCGTGAGTCTGTGATATTTTATTTTTGGACTCTCTTCTAGTCAGCTGTTGGCCATGAATATCAGTTGAAACTTGCTAAGCACTGCTCTCAAGTCGACTCGGTCCGGGGTTTTGGAGGCAAGTTTGGTGTCCAGATGGATAGAGTTGACCAGGTGAGTGATGGGCACAAGAAGTGACCCCGAGTTCTGCTGAGCACAGTGTCTTCCACCCCAGATTGTGCTGGTGCTATGTGTTACCTTTGAGTCACTCGTAGCAGTGTGCTGGGAGGGATGTCTAGAGAAGAGCCGAGGCCTCTTCCCCTGGGGTGCTCCTAGAGGCTGAGCCAGCTGGGTGAGGAAGGGGGGTAGTAGCATGTAAAGAAAGGCCTTTCTCACATGGGCTTAGAGATCCCTGTGTTACTGTCTATTTACCAGATGGACTGGGATCCTTCTTTAAGTGCCCTGGGCATAGGACACCCTTAGATTTATTGCCTAAAAATGTGCCAATGGGGACCACTCCCACCCATTTCCCTTCCTATATATCACTGTGGCAAGTGCTGCTCAGAGTTCTTCCTGTGGAGCCCTCGTTTTCAGGGCTGCAGGCTGGGTCCAGATGTTCTGGCAGGCTCAGGCTTGAGCCTGTTCTGATTCCCTTTGGATCAGGGCCATTAGCCCCTTCCTTCATTTTGTTTCATGGCAGGCAGAGGCCTGGATTTGGACAGGCCTCAGTCTGTGTTCTGACTTTTTGAGATCCTAGCTGTCTTGGAATTTCTATTCCAAGTGAAATGGGAGTCATGGTAATCCCTCACTCATGGGGCTGGGTGGGAAGCAGAGCAGATAGTGTGCCCATATGCCCACCATGGTGCCTGGCTCCTGCTGCTGCTGTTGTTATTAGTATTCATTTTGTTCTTAGGATAGCTTATTTGAAGAATGCGTTCCTGTGTGGCATAGAGAATTGTTTGAGATGGGGAGTATGTGGCTACACTACATTAGCTGAGCCTGATGTGCAGCAGCCTTCTGGGAAGGAAGCCACATTGCCCTGGATGTGCTTGACTGTGGTGCCTGCCAGACTGTGAAAGTATTTGTGTGTGTGTGTGTGTGTGTGTGTGTGTGTGTGTTTTTACCAGCAGTACTCCAGATGGAACCCACAGCCTTGCACACTCTAGGCAAGCACTCTACTACAGAGCTTTACTCCCTTCCCATTTATTCATGCATTCATTCATTGATTCTTTAAGAAGGCAGCATTTCATCTTTGTGCTGGCAGACTGTTGGATCTTGATACCAGGGGACTGGTGCAGGATAATTCCACAAAAGCAACACTCCTGAGTTTACAGAGAGCATAGTATACAATTTAAAAGTGGGCAATACAAAGCAAGTAACAAAATGTTACATACTTGGCTACATGCCCTGAGTTGTATTGTGACAGGTAGGCTAGCCTGGACCAGATACAAAGGAATTGTTTATCATAATATAGAAATACTCTGGGCACAAGAGGAGTGGTCCTTTACTGGGTGAGCATAGGTAAAGGCAACCCTCTTTATCACATGTGGATTTCCAGATTATCAGACTGGTTTCGGAGGCAAATTTGGTGTTCAGTGCGAGTGGCAGGACTCCTCCACTGTGGGACTTCTGATTATAAGGAAAGACTAGCCAAGCACGAATCCCACCAAGGCACAGTCCCCACTTCCTGCCTCTTCCCACACTCCCTTGCGGTACAGCCACTTCCAGCACAGGCTTCAGAGTTCACCTCGGTGCTCTAGCAGGCTCTCCTGCTCACCAGCTGTCAGACCATTGGGCATCCTCAACCCATTGAAACTAAGTTCCCTTTTATCCCATTCTCTTTCTTCCCCCTTTTGACCTTTCAGAGGAAAGTTGGGGTAGAAATTATAGTTCACAGGTTATGAACTCTAACTCCTTTATCTGGTTTCTGGGGTGGTCTTCTAACAGCCTTCTGCATGTTTGCTTGCTTTTGACTATGACTTCTTGGGTCATCGTGCCAGGCCTTGTTGCCTCTGAGGTTAGGAAAGAGAGGTTTTAGTTGCAGCACCTCTGACCCTTCCATCAGAGGGTTCATAGCAGTGAGGGCTGAGAAATGCGTGTTCTGTGTGATTTCTGTGTTTCGTTGTGGCAGTGGTGCTTTTCAGACAGGGGTGGGTAGTTTTGTTTGTTCTGATTTTTTTGTTTGTGACACCACCCATGTGTAGGATCTTCACATGTAGCCACACAGTGTGTACACACAGCTGGAAAGTAACCTTTCTGTGGCCACACACTGGAATTCCAGATAGTTGACGCATATTCCTTATAGCAGTCACACTTCCCATCAAAGTTCTCCAACAGAAGCCTTGGTTACGAGAACCTGGACCCATCACCGGCTGAACGATGATATCCAGCAGTGAAGGGCAGAGTGCGGGCTTTGAGCGCAGTAATAGGACCTGCGCAGTGCTCGGGTGTAGGGTGGTGAACGCACTGGGCCTGACCCTGCAGACTGCATGGAGAGAGCCGTCGAGTCTCAGCGGCATTGAGACTGCATGACAGTGTGACTTTCATGTGGGTGTGTGTTGCTGCAGCAGACATATTTGGCTGGTAGAATGTCCACATGGAGTATTTTCTTTCTTTTAAAAAGCAAGAAAACAAACTGCGACTGAGCCTCTATTTAGTGCTGGGTAGAACGGTTGCATAGGAAACAGATGAGCATAAGCCCCGTGGCTGGTGTGGAAGACTGTGCTAGTGAAGTGGCCCATCGCAAAGGCCTGTCCAGTGCCCCCTTCTTGGCTTATTTCTTGCCAGCCTGCTGCCCGTCTCTGCCCTTTCCCCAGGAGAATGCCAGAAGCATGCCCACGCCTATCCTGCTCCCTGCCTGTGCACTGGACATTGTGGTCAGACGCAACTTGCCTGGCTCGGAAAGCCTGTGTTGTGGCGGTTCTTGGTTCTTTCTGCCAGGGTGCATTTTCTTGGGCTGTTTGAGCCCTATCTGCATGCACCTGCGATCATCTGGGACCGGGCCTGTCCTCTGCCTCAGAGTAAATCTTGTGTTTTGTCACCTCCAGACTATTCCAAAGGATTCAGCGGCAAGTACAGGATGCAGAAAGATCGGATGGATAAAGTAAGGCTGTCCAGCTCCAGGTGTGGAACTTTCTGCCTGCAGGCCCAGGGATTCCTGCAGCCCCCACTCTGTGTCAGTTGCTGTTTGTAGCTACCATCAGGTAGGCACTGTGCTCGTGGTTCTGGCCACCCACCCACTCAGCTGGCATATGTCACTACGGCAGCAGTCGAGGTCTGAACTAGCCAGTCTTGAGTGCTTGGCCATAGCATGGCAGTGAGGGAGCTGTCACTGGATCATACTGCTGTTTGAACTTTGATTATGAATGGTAAATCAGACTGGGAATTGAGTTAATGTGAGACCATTTGTAGGGTCATCCTTCCCTTGGCTGTAGTGGTGGGTGGCATGGTGGAGCCTTAGAGCTCTGTTCCTATACAGCTCGTGGCTGACCTCACAGCCTCTCCTCGGGCACTTCCCCATGTCACCAGGGTCCATGGGAGAACCCTGTGGCACACCGCACAGGCCGAGGGGTCTCGGGAAAGGACTAGTCATAGCCCAGTTCTGAAGAGCTGGGAAGAGTTTGTTAGGAAAGTCAGGGCTAAGAGAGTGCAGAGCAGAGGGCACAGCCAGTGGGGTGACTGTGGAGCTGGAGAATTTGGATGAGCATGTGTGGTAAGTGCTTGTGATGCCTGAAGTTCCTCCAGTTTAGGGCTGCGCCTGTCTGATGGCAGTGTCAGGTCAGAGGATGCTGGGCAAGGAGGCTCCTCGAGGTGGTAGCAAGGAACTCCAGGAAGTATCTGGTGGCTGGGGCCCCTGGGTTAGGAGGACGGAAGGAGCTAATGAGTGAGGGAGTCAGAAGTTGTGGCTTTGCGGTTGGGAGTTGAGGAAGTTTCCATCTCTTGTCTGTGGTTGATGCCAGTGGTAACCAGTGACTGCTGGGCTGGCAAACGCCGTGGAAGTAAGCATGCGAGGCTGGCATTGCCTCTTGTAACCCTATGCGTGAGGCATCATGATTCCCCCTTGGAACTGTTGTGCTGTCATGGAGCCTGGTGCTTTCTAAGTGAGGCCACTGGCCAGGGGCCAGGCTTTGCTATGAGGCCATCCTCAAAACATGATGGGTCGCTGAGGACTCGAGTCTGCAGTTGTCTTTGTGGTGATGGAGATCAACGTGAGGCCAGTGACCTTCTGTTTTGGAAATGCCCAGCCTGTCCTGTCTTGGACAAGGTTGGCTGTAATAGGCATGAGGGGATCAAGGGCAAGAGTAGTTGCTCTTGTGAATCTTGGAGCCAGGCCAGACAGGACAAGGAGGATTGAGCAAGGTTTATATGGGTAGGAAGGTGTCAAGTGCGAGAGGCTGTGGTCTGTAGGCAGTCACAGGCTGGAGTGTAGCTCAGTGGGAGGATGCCTGCATCCCACGTATAGACTGGCTTCCCTTTCCAGCATGCAGAGCAGAGGTGGGTCTTGGTGACGGAGTCACTGTGAGGAAGGCTGAGCACAGGGATGGTGTGGGAGGTGATATGGATGGGGAATGGATGTGGACAGAGAGATGCCCCTGCCTGAGCAGCAAGCCAGAGGCCTCCACTGCAGGAACTGGGATGAGAGGACTGGAGCCACCCTCCCAAAGCAGAGGGCAGGAACCAGGGCAGTGATCTCACTGCCACCCTGAGGCTACAGGGCAGGGAGGAGTCACCTGGACAGCTGGGCAGGGATTGTTCTAGAAAAGGTGGTAGACCGTCCAAGGTCAGTAGGTTTGGGAAGAGGGAAAGGTTTAGTCAGGAAAGCTGAGTAGCCAAAGCTTAGACTCAGCAGAGATAAGTCTAGGCCAAAGGCCCTTAAGAGCTATACAGCTAGATCTGTTGGGCATGGCGGCTAGGAGGACAGGTGACTGCTCTGGCCAAGGTGGGAGTCCTTTGGGGTGGGCTTTTTGGCTCCCCTGTGAAAGGATAGGCACAGGGGAGGATGGATGTGAGCCAGATTCCTTTCTGGTCTCCTTTGGGCAGCTGGAGCCATCTGTGCCTGTGCCGCAGGGAAGTGTGGTTTTGCTACCTCGAGGGGCTGCCTCTTTGGGCTGCACTCTAGTGTGCCATGTGGGGAAGCAGTGAGCATCCTGAGCTGGAGCAGTGGTGCAGCTCTCAAAGGAACTGGGGAAGGTCATTAGTTTCTAAGAACCCCATCAGCCTGTGCTAGGTCCTGCGGTTTAGGGCCTGATGTCACAGCGGTTTCCCTGGGGTGTAGCTGAGAGCCCAGTTGAAATAAAGTGGTGGCATCCCAATTACAGAGCCACGTGGAACATCTGGCCAGGCAGGCCTGTGTGTCCTGAGGACCTGTCCCCACACAGCAGAGGCTTGTAGGCAGGGCGGGGGCAGGCTTGATCAGGCTTGAGCAGCACAGAGGTGGCTTGTCCCTGAGCAGATGGCTGTGACACTGACTAATGGTCAGCAGTGTGTGTGGCTGTACCTCCGCGAATCTGCAGAACACAGGGGCAGAACTTAGGCTGCCTGGTCTGTTGAGGGATCTGGGGAGGCTGTAGCATTTCCGCAGGTAGGGAGGGGCAGAGGAGCACACTTCTGATTTCTTTTTCCTTCTCTGCAGAGTGCGTCGACCTTTGAAGGTGTGGCACAGGTATCGTCTGCCTACCAGAGGACTGTCCCTGTTCAAGCTGGTGAGTGTCACCCACACAGCCAAAGCGCTATTTGGTCTTCTCTGGAGGAAAGTCTAGGGAAAATCCCAGGAGGAAAAGCAAGGTTGGAGAAACAGCCAGGAGCAGAGGGACATGTGTGACTGCCCCCATAACCCTGCCCCCTACATTGCAGGGACCCTGGAGACACAGTTAACCCCTCTTTGCTTCGGAAAGTAACTCTCACAACAGAGCCTACACCAAAGTCCCTGTGAATGGGGGTCCACTTAAAATTGGGAAGCAGAGGCCCACTTTTGCTCACTTCAGAGGAAATACCTGCCAGTAGGTGGCATGTGCCCAGAACCCCAGCACTCTGAGAGCCTGAGGCAGGAGAATTGCAAGTTCAAGTGCTGTCTTGGCAACTCAGTGAGAACTGTCACAAGAAACATTACACAATGAAAGAGCCCTGGGCTCAAGTCTCAGTGGGGTGAGGGGGCGGGGAGAGGAGAAGAAGGAGGGGAGTGGAGCTCAGAGTTACTGTAGCTCCGCTGCAGGTGCCTTGGATCACTTCCCGATTCTGTGGTCCCAGACCACCTTGGCACTTTGAAAGTCATTGAGGACCACAGAGAGCCTCCACAGCGCTGGATGTGTTTATATGTGTGTATTCTAAATTAAAATGGAGGAAAGTTTTCAATTCATGTAAAAATAAAACTATGGTAAGTCTGCTTATTAAGTTTGCTTTTAAAAAAACTACTGTGAGTTCCAGAATAAGAAAATTTAGGGGAATCACATCATTTTATGTTTTTCTAAATCCCATTACTAGAGGATGGTGGATTGGGGTCTCATATCTGCTCCCACATTTTGTCTGTGGCAGTGGCCAGATTGCTTCTACAGTTAAGGCAAACTGGACACAGGTGGACCAGCAGGTGGGAAGGGAGGGCCCTTGGTGACTTGGGGTCACTATGGTGTTCTGTATTTTGCCTGGTGCGTGTGGGCCATCTTTCCTTAAAGGCTAGTTCTGCATCCTGGGAAGCTTCCCCAGAGTGACAACATCATGCTTCAGCCATTAGGAAAACAGTAGACCTACAGATTATCCTTGTTGTCCTGCGATTGATCCCTTTCATTATACTATTGAAGAAAATCACATTTGTTCTCCATCTCCTTGGTGCAGTCTTTAAGTGACAATGCTCACTCTGGCACCTACTAATTTTCTAGAACTCTTTAATTCTGCTTGAAAGCATTAATTTTCCTGTGGGTAACAAATACTGCTATAAGTTTTGACATTTGACAGAATGATTTGATTCATTTACTTTGGAGGAAGTGTCTGCCAGATCCCCAAATCTGCATAACCAGAGTTTGTCTGCCACTTGTTATCTTAGGGAAAATCATGTTCCATAAGAAAACCGTTTAGCTAGTGCAGAGAGGCTGTTCTCTGAGATGCACAGGAGTGCTTTATGACTATCCCATTTCTGCCACACGAAACACCCAAAATGCATATGTAAAGGTCAAAATCTGCTGAAAATCAGTATCTTTTTTTTAAACTTCTTTAACAACAATAGACTTGCATCTTTTCTTAAGGATGCCTGCTTCTTTGTTTTTTCAGCATGTGGTGGCAAGTAATGTGATGATGGGTTATGTAAAAGTATTCCAGCAGGGCTGTGCTGGTTCACACCAGTAGTCCTAGCTACCGGGAAGCCTGAAGCAGGAGGATCAAAAGTTTGAGGCCAGTTTAGGCTACTTAATGAGACCGTCTCAACAAAGCAAATAAAAATGACTGAGGATGTAGCTCAGAGCTCTGGAGTTCACTTCCCATCATCTCAGAAAAGAATACGTGGGAAGCCAAGGTTCAGACACAAGTGCTGCTACATACAGTGTAGAGAGCTGGCCCAGTTGGCAGGCTGAGCACAGTGGGGTGGGAGAAGTGTGAGCTCTTGGTGGGGCCAACTGTTGCTGCAGAAGGTCACCCTGCTTGGGCTTTCAGCCCAGGGAAGTGTTCTGAGGTGCTGTGAGGCAGACTCCCTCATTCCTTCCTCTACAGCAGGCCAGCAAAGCCAGCAACATGAGGGCAAAGTTTGAAAATCTCACTAAAGAGAGAAGGCAGGAGGACAGGTGGAAGCGGAGAGAGCACAGTGGATGGCCAAGGAAAGGCAGGAGCAGGAGGAGGCTCGAAGGAAGCTGGAGGTGAAGACAGAGAAGCTGGCCCAGCGCGTGAGCATGCGTGGCCAAGGGGGTGCTCGTGCTTGCGGTGGCTGCCACTTTGCTCTGCATTCCCAGAAGTTCTCAGTAGAAAGTGTTTTCCACTCAAAGAGTCAGCCACACAGGCTGGCAGGGGTCGGCCAAACCCATCTGCCAAGGTGGCCTGCCCTGACCTCTGGGGCTGGTCTGCCACTTTTCCCTGTGGTCTGCACACTTTGACTAGAAGAAGAGGTTACAGAGGCCGTGGAGGTTGGACAGAGTGCAAGGACTCTCTTTCCAGGATTTTTTGGCGGGCTTTGGCTCTGCTCTGCCACCTGCTCATCAGGACCCACGGCTGACAGCCTGGCTGCTTCTCTTGGGTAGTTGAGCAGTTGAGGCTAAAATAATGTACTCGAAGCTGCTGGGCCACGTGAGGTTCTGGATGTTTTCTCCTTACAGCACTTCTTGGGTTCCAAGAATCCCCAGCAGGAGGAGATCGGTGTGCAGAGGCAGGGGTGCTGGGAGTGGAGGCATTAATGAACAAGCCCCGATTTGCCTTAGTACAGGCAGGCACATCATGGGAAGCAGAGGTTTGTGGCAACACTGTTTTCCTGTTCTTAGTGACTAGAAACACCTAGTGACCTCTCCTTCATAGTTTCTATAAAGTAAGGTCTTTGTTTGTTGTTCTTTGTCACAGAACACCCGAATACACACAGGCATTCTTTACTTGCTGTCTCATGTTTTTTTCACGTAATTGGGGCCTTCCTTAATCTCTGTCATCTGGGACACAACAGTTTGACCTGCTTGCTTGAGAGGAGAGATTCGAGTAGGGTAGTTATTGTTTAGCCCCTTTCTTTGCAGGTTGCTTGCTGAGTCCTTTTCTGTTTACAGGCCCCCCTCCTCCCCAGGAGTGTGCTGAGTCTCAGGTGGACCCCCTCTGTTACTTAGGAGCACCCCAGACAGGTTGGCACAGTGCGTCCTGGCAGGAGAAGCCTATGTGTCAATCCACACTGTCTGGTGGCTGCTGTTGAGGAGGCTTCTCACCCAGCTGGGTTTGGGAAGGGCTGGAGGTAGGCCCTTCGGCCTGCAGCTGTGTTTGTGAAGTGATCCAGTTACCCTGCAGCCAGGGGCCTGGGTGCTGAGGCTGGTGGGCCCAGTCCTGCCCTTCACGGCTGCCCGGTACTCAGGCCTTGGGTTTTGAACCTGTGTAGGATTCCAGGTGACAAATGCTTGCAGGTCAGGCTAGTCCACAGCGATGCAGAGACCTGTCAAGGACCAGGCCTGCTTTGCTTTCCAACAAAATGAGACAGTGTTTCGTTGTCCCATGGGGGAGGTGTGCCATGGGCACCTGGGGTTCAGATTATGCCTCTACAGTTCCCTGGCTGTGTGTCCTCCACAGTCCTCCCTGGAGCATGCAGGCCATCAGTGTGTTTCCTGTGGCTGCCATTTCAGGTCACCCTCACTGAGCTTGAAACAACACATTCTTCACTTGTGGCACTCAGGAATCCCCAGAGGTGTCAGAGGGGCTGCATTCCTTTGCAGGCTCTGTGTGTCTGTCCTTTTTCTAGCTTTTAGAGGCCCTTGCGTTTCTTGGCTCGTGTGACTCCAGACTCTGCTTCCATCCTCACATGTCTTGACTGCCTGTCACACTCCTCCTTGTCTTATGAGGACCTCGTGATGACATTGGGCCGACCATGGAATCAGAGCAGGGGGCATTATTTGTCTACTGCATTGTATCCATGACGGCCAAAGAGTCACACTTTCCTCCCACTCATAATATAGTCCCCTCACGTCATGGTCCCTGAGAACCTTAGTCCACTACAGCATCAACTCATCATCTATATCCCCTCAGTGAGTGAGGACTCCACAGCGAACTATAGGCCATCGCCAGCACTGCAATTGTGCCTAGTGCCCGGTGAAGTGCATCTTCTAGGCATGGCACCGCGAAGTGCTGCAGGCCGCCGAGGTCTTTCCTCTCAAGGTGGTCTGCTGACTGCATGACTTTCCTTTGCTGCAGCAGCTCCTTCTCTAGGATGTGTGACACTGTCTGCTGTTGCATCAGGCCCATTCTTCAGGCTAAGGTACCTTCCTTTTCTGAGTTGCTGGTGTCATCGAGACGGTCATGACCTTCTGGTTGCTATTTTTCTATTGCAGGAGCAAGCCAGAGCCAAAAAGGAAACACCCCTTGAGTCCCCCACTCCTCATTCAGCTGAGGAGAGGCAGCCTTCCAGCCCCATCTATGAGGTGGGTGTTTTTGTTTGGTTCGTGAAGGAGTCTTGAACCTTTTGCAGTGCCCGTGTGGATGTTTGACGTGCTGTGCTCTGTGCCCACACTGGGCTTGTGGTGTGGCAGGGTTCAGGGATGGCATCCTTGGAGTGAGGCATCCTCCCCGCTGCCCTTCATTACCTTTCTGCACCTCCTTGCAGTCAGACTGCCAGCTGAGGAGTGGGTCACTGTCTCCCTACAGCCCTGGGTAAGTCGCTGGATGCCAAATGCTCAGTCACATTGGTTTTGTTGGTCTTCTTTCACAAGCCTGTGTGTGTTGAGCTGGCTGCACTTCTTTATGGGAACCAACCTCCTTTGGCACTGAGGTGCCACCACCAGTGTCACTCCTGTGGCTCTGATGGTGTGTTCCCAGACACCTCCCTTCTGTGCCACATTGGTGCCTCTCACAGACCTGCGATCTTGCTTTGTCCCTCAGATGCTAACCTGTCTGACAGCTCCTGGCTCCCCCTCCACTGTGGCCCTTGTCCTGTTTCCTGTTTCCCCCATAGCCACTCTGGGCTGCACATTTACTCTTTTATCTAAATAGCACTTTGTGTCAGTGAATTGCAACTGCTGAGGACTCAAGACACAGGGAGGTTACAGACCCGTGAAAGCTATGGAGATGCACAGGGCCGGGCCTGGGTATTCCTGGTCTTACTCCCAAATCCAGAGAAAGCCAGGCCTCCCAGCAGCATCCTGCAAGTGCCATTCCTGACCACTTGCCTTGTTTTTTGTGACCCACAGAGGGCACCTGGTCAGAAACATTGGAGCCAATGTTAATGTGTGCTTCAGGATGCCTGTTAGAACTCAGAAGTCATATGGTTTTTTTTAATTTAAAAAATTTTTTAGTCACGCAGTTTTAAATTATAAGATGTGCATTTTCTCTGAGTACCTTTGTCTTTGAACATGGTTCTTTTGGTGGTTCCCTTGCCTCACTCTGTGCGGAGGATTTGGTTAGAAGACAAGAAGCTGCTGGCTGGTGCTGATAGGCAGCACTGGACAGGACAGAAACCTGAGACCTAAAATACAAACAGGCTAATTTGAACTCAGGATGGAATGACGCGAGCCCTGGGGATGCAGTTTGGGGAGTGTATGGTTCCTGGTGAGGAGAGTGGACTTCAGTCCCTTCAGGATTTGGGAGTGTTGGGGGTAATAAGGACTGGGGCTCCCTGGATGAGAGGTCAGTCAGGACTTTGAACTGATGCCTTCCTGACTAGTGTCCTTTTCCTCAGTCCCAGCCGAAGCTAGGAAATAAGTCCCCATGTCTTAGGTGGCATTGACAGTGTAGCTGTAAACTTTGTAGGTGCCAGCCAGGCCACAGGATATGTCCATTTGTTCCTTTTCAGGATGCAGCCTCCTTGAACGCAGAGATCCTGCAAGTGAAAGTGAGCCCTAGCATGTGTACAGTGCAGAGGCCACAAACTACCTTCCCACAGGCCAGCAGTTAGCAGAGCCTGGGCTATGATCTGGAAGCCATCTAGGACACCACCAAACCCTCTGGCCACTATCAAGCAGGTACTGTGCCCACGCTCCCATGCCCTTCCTGGGAATGGGGCTCTCTGAGAGATCCCACCCAGCATTATTCCCCATGAAGAATGTGTTCAGGGTTCCTGTCTGCTCACACCCCCCACCCCCGAACTCTTTGTTTCCCTGTTAGAATGGCCCTAGGCACAGTGGTCTCCAGTGGCAGCAGTGGTCCTGGGAAGGTCCCTGGTATTCTGGGATACAGGGAACCTGGGGATAGGTCTGGAGTCAGGAAACTGGCTTCTGTTACTGTGGCATTTCCTCTGGACATCAAGCACCTGTCTGCTGCAGGACAACCTTAAAGGTGACACTTTCTGCGGCTTGAAGATGGTGCAGGTGTTTCACTTAGGTCAGTGTGGTGAACCTATAGCATGCCTGCTGCAGTGGGTATGCGCAAAGCCCTCTCTGTTGGCTCACAATCCAAGTCCCGCCAGAAACCCAGCATTGAATTAGGTTATTTTTGTAAACTAAAACCTCGGTATTCAGGTTTAATTACAGCATTATCACTTTGTGATACATAAGTGGGTTTTGTGTTACAGTTTGAGTAGTTAGTTGGTCTCCAAAAGGTTTTCTGCCCCTGATCTAGGCGAGCACTGCAGTTTTGCTTATTGTCCTTTAATACTGAGGTTTCCTGTAGTACGCCAGGTCCAGCACAGACCCCTTATCCCACATGGAGCAATGTGGTAATGTGGTCAGTATGGAGGGCAGGAGCCACTTGGGCTGAGAACACACGTGACGGGGGGGAGGCCTCTTACCTTGACAGCGTCACAGGCATTGATTGCCCTGTCCCTTCTCTTATTCACTTCCCTGATGATGCTAGATATTTTGCATTTTAAAAGTTATACTCTCAAAATGGTCATGAGAGCCATGTTCCCTGGGTGATGGCAGAGCTGGGAGTCCATGGACTTGGTCTTGAAAGCTGGAGTCTTCTCTTGAGTTTCCAGGAGGTGCCTCCTTTCCTCTCTCCTGCTGCCCTCAGAGTGGAGCTCACTCACTGAGATTTTTTCCTAGCAAGTGCTCCTGCCCCAAATCTTGGGAATCATTGTGTGAAAAGCAGTTACAGTGGGGAGGTACAGGTGGGTACCAGCTGCTGCTCAACTGTCCCCATTTCCTTTCAGAAGAGAACACCTATGACGAGTATGAGAACGACCTGGGCATCACAGCCATCGCACTTTAGGACTACCAGGCTGGTGAGGTGCCTGAGCAACTTCCTGCCCTTTGTTCCTGCCAACTCAGCCCCTAAGAATCTGACTTTTCCAGTGATGCTGCAGTTTCTATTTTGAAATAGTTTCAGTTACAGAAAAACTCCCAGTACAGTGACAAGGACTCTCATGTCTCAACCAGGTCCTAATTTTCTGCATGTGTGCATGTACAAACTCATGCACTTAACCACTTCAATTACATTTATTCTCAGATCCATCGGGGACCTGCAAGGTCCCCATTGCCCCTAAAAACCCCATTTGATGTGATGGCACGTACCTGCAATCCTGGCTATTTGGGAGACCAAAACAGGGGAATGCAAATTTGAACCCCGTCTGGGTGAATTAGCAAAACCCTGTCTCAAAAGAAATAGATGTGTTGGGGATGTAGCTCTGTGAAACGCCTGCAGGTGGCCCCCATTCCCTCCCTAGTATTACAAAAATACAGAAAACAAAACTCGAAAACTGCACTGTGCATGTCTAGGACATCCAGGGTCTCATATGAGTACTTCCAGCACTCTCCACCCTCTGGGAGGTCACTTGTGCACATGACACACCCCTCGGCGTTGGTCCTGTTTGGCCCTGTTCCTGGGCCGTGTCCTTCCACAGTTGGCCAGGGCCCAGCAGAGTTGGTGCTCGCATGGTAGGAAGGCCACAGATACAATTCGGTGCCTCCCTGTGCTGAGTTGTCTTTTTTGTGGTACCCAGGATCGAACTCCTGACCTTGTACTTGCCAAGCAGGTGCTTACACCACTGAGATAAATCCCTGCCCTACCCTGTATGTTATTTCTGTGGCATTGGTCACTATCACCTGCCAATCCACACCACTCCAGTAGCAGTTGATGACTGCGAGGCGCTATGGTGAGCCCCCCAGGTCCTGTCTTCTCTCAGCCTCACTTGGCCTTCCCTGACAGTAGCTTCCCAGTTCCTCCTCCCCGCTGAGTGGGGGCGGTAAGAGGCAGAGCGTGGCCTTTCTGCACCTGCTATTATTTATTCCCCTATCTATACATTTCTCTTGCTTTTTTTTCTTTTGAGGCAGGGTCTCTATTCAAGTGATAAAACCTTTTTATCACCTGAAATAGAGTTGATGCTGGCTTTAAACTCACTATGTAGCCCTTGAACTTGTGCCATGTGATCCTCCTGTGTAAGCCTCCCGACTGCTAGGATTACAGATGTGCACCACCATGCCCAGCAGCACACATGTTTTTATTTATTCTTCAATGGGTTCTCTGATATTTTGGCATCTGTACATATGTTTGAGTTCATCCCGTGACCTGTGTTCCAGCCCGTCACCTGGGCTTCTTTCTAGACCCCTTCCTGTGTTCAGAACCACCCACCCTGACCACCCCTCCTACATGTCCTCGTCCCCCTGTGCCCTGTCAGTGGTGGCACCCTTTCCTCACTCCCCCAGTGAAGGTGGGAAGGAAGGCGAGTTCCCACCCATCCTGGCCATTTCTCAAAAACAGTGTCTGGCCAGGGTGGATGTTTTTGGAAGACGCCGCTCACATTTGTGCATCCCAGCCTTACACGGGCTGTGGCTGCCTCCTTCTTCTTGCTGCATGCTCCTCCCAGCCCCCCTGGAAATGTTTTCCATTTGTGTCTCTCTCTTTGCTTTTTTCCCAGCGCGTGGTGACGAAATCTCCTTTGACCCTGATGACATCATCAGCAACATAGAAATGATGCATGAGGAAGGCTGGCAGCACAGCGTGTGCAAGCGCCTGTACGGGCTCTTCCCGGCCAACTATGTGGAGATGTGGCAGTAGGCGGCCCGCCTGCCCTGCGGGCCTGTACAGAATCACACTTCAGATCATGCCTTTGCTGGTTTGGGGTTTTGGGTTTGTATTTTTTGTTCTGTTTTCTGAGGGTGAGGAGGGAAATATACATATTGATTTTATATTTAATACTTCTACTGATGCTTTTGAAAATGTTGATGCCACAGAATGTGCTAATAAATTGTAATCATGTTCCCTAGGAGGACTTTGGTGATTGTTTTTGAACTTTTTTTTTTTTTTTTTTTTTTTTTTTTGCCAAATTGCCTTGTCATGTGTAGCCACTTCAGGTACCTGTGGCTCTCCTGAGGTCAGCAGTGCATGTTGTCTGTATGTTTGTCATGACTGTTGGGTCTCCCAGGACTGATGTCCATGTCTGCAGCTCTGGGAGTGGCTGACTACATAAGCTCTGTGGGGCAGCAGTGTTTGGAAGTGGAGGGAAGACCCGGGTCAAGAGTAAGACTGGTGGGAACCCCTGGAGGGGTGCTGGCTCCCCTGTCAGGTGGGACACCCCCACATCTCATCCCATGTGACCCAAGGTTGTGCGAGGCTTTCTCCTGTGCCCCTGTCTTATCCCTATCTCCATGGCTCTCCTGACCCCTGACTCCTGCCCTGCTAGGTGTCACCACGTCCTTCCACTGTTCCCTCACTGCTTGTCTTACACACTGGCCCACAGTGAAGGGCCCTGGGCTTAGAGGTGAGCTTAAAGCTAGTGTTGGGCCTGGGTGCCACCCAGGGCTGCTCCCATGGCTGTCTGCTCATGCAGGGGGGGTGACATGTGTGGCTGGATGGCCCCCAGTTGGGGGAGACAGGTACCTTGCTGTGGACTGCCAGAAGGACGCCCTCATCAGGGGGTTGTGCATTTTGCCAAAATCTCGTGTTTAGTTATTAAAATGTGATTGAGTTGGCTAAAATACGACTGGGAACAAGCAAGTGTTCCTTCCCGTTGTGCCACGGTGGTCTCTTTAAGCCACTCTGTCCATACTGCCTGCTACTTGCAGGGGGAATACCTGTCCTTCCTGAGACACCAGGGCCAGTCTTGTTGGTGCACATGATTGGGGGACAGATCCACGGAAATGTTATGACTGTTGGGGACACTTGGCGGTTCTGATGTGCATGTTTTCTCTCTGGAAGTGATTTCTGCAGTCTTGCTTTTCCCACTATTAGGTTGGGTTTTACATACAACTTAACTGTATCTGGATTTCTGTAGTATACCTCATACGTATGATTTTTTAAAAATCAAATATTCCGAATAAACCTTTTTTTTTCTTTTTTTTAACTGATTTGCTGTGTGATTTGCTTTGATACTTGGTCACTTTGTTCTGCAGTTGAAAGTGCCTTTGTGGGTGTCAGTGTCCTGCATTCCGTGAGAGACCTGGCCTGGACCACCCTCCAGCCAATGTGCCATCCTGCTGCTTCTCAGGTGAAGCAAAGTCCCCTTCTCAAGGGCACGTTTTATCACCTGAAATGCATCCTCAAATCTTTATTTGAAGGAAGTCTCCAATCAGAACAGAAAATGCCATATTTAACAATCACTTCTGAGCTGCAGCTCTCAAAATGAATCCTTCAGTGGTTGCCGTGTAGTCAGAGGCATTAGTTTCCTTCAGCTCACACACCTCAGGGCCTGAAGGAAGTGCTGAGCCTGGGCAGAGGAGCTGGTGTCTGCAGCAAGGGCCTGGCTCCTGGACCTGCCCTGGGCTCTGGCCAGTCTGCTTTAAAAGGAACAATCATGGATGAGGGACTAGCCACCTCTTTGGAAACCCCCAGGGCAGTGGCAAGGGAGCTGGTGCTCCCTCCAAGGTGGACAGGCAGACCTTCCTTCCTGGGCAGCTCCCAGACCCAGTGCCAGCACAAGAGGGCTTTGAACCTTTGGGAAAAGGCACTCTGTTATACCTGGAAGCAAGGGAAGCACAATGCAAATCATAGCTGTGCAACGCTTTTATGTTCGTGTTGTTTGCAGGAGCTGAGAGTAGCTTACTGCAGCCATAGTCCTGGTGTAGGGACAGGCCCAGAACCCTGAGCTTTGGGCACTGTCCTTGCTGTCTGGTGAGGTCCCTTGACTCTTCCTGCCAGCAGGAGCCAGGAGCAGGGCTTGAAAACCTGGTTCCACTCATACCCTGCCTGCTGGGCCCTCCTGTGGAAGCCCAGCTGAAAAGCCCCTCCAGCCTCTGAGCTGGCAGCAGCATCCCCAGTGCCCTGCCTTGCCTCCACCTTGATAGCAGAACTTTGTCAGTGTTGCTTGTGTGATACAATCCTGAGAGTCCATCTCTCCTCCCACAAAAAATTTGGTGCATCAAGGGGTCCCCAGTGTGGAGATTCTCATGTATGACTATAGTTTGGGGGTGGGAGAAGGGAACTGTCTACCAGTGAAGCTGCTGCTACCTGTTGGAGAGGGTGGGCAGATCTTGAACTCGGGTGTGACATGATAGGGGATATATGGTAACAGTGTTTCCATTGCCCACTGTTTACCCATTTGCTCTGTGACCATAGATGTGGCAGGGGCCTTGCAGACCCCGGACACAAAGTGGACAGGTCCCTTTCCATTTTGCTGAGTCATACATCTGTAATTCTTAAGTTTGATCTCAAGGACCCCTTTAGTCTGAGGAACAACTCGGGACTGGGTTTCTGGGCCCCTTTGTGCTCTCAGCCACTGGAAGCTGGAGGTCAGAGGTTAGCAGGCTTTTCTCTGTTGAGGCCCAGCCATGAGGAGTGATTTCATGGTATGGAGGCAGCAAGGGTCTCTGGGAAGCACTGCAGTTTCTGATGGCCACTTTGGGCAGCTCTGAAGTGCACACAGAGAAGGAAAACTGAGAGCAGGTGAAACTTCTTGTCTTGTGTGTGGAAGATACTTTTGCTGGTCCTTGTTCAACCAAAGATGTCCAGAAAGGGACTGTATGGGAAGTTAACGGAGCATGTCCCGGGTGCTGTCCCTGCATGTGGAATGACTGGTGAGGGAGGGCTCTGGTGGGGAACAGCTGGTTCCACCTTCATTATTACCTCCAGCTACAGATTGTGTAACCAAGAAGAGAACACAGGTGCCCCAGAGCTGTGCCCTGTGCTCTTGCACCCTGCAGACGCTGGTAGAGTGGGCAGGTGCTTTGCCTCCTACACTGGCTTGCAGATATTCAGCTTCTTTATCTGAGGAGGATTAAAAACAGCCACCTCAACTAGCTGAAGTGGCACACTCTTGAAGCTGAGACAGGAGAATTGCTGAAAGTTTGAGGCCAGCCTGAACTAGATAATGAGTCCTCGTCTTCCAAAAACCAAAAGACAAGACAGCTCTCTCTCTCTAGTCAGGTGCTTGCTAGAAGCATTTCACATGCTCAAGTGCCAGGACACACCTTCCCAGCTGGATGGGCCAGGCACAGTGTCACATGCCTTTGGTCTCAGCACTTTGAGGCTTGCCTGAGCCCAGACAATCCAGGCCAGTCTAGGCAACATAACAAGACCCAGCTCAAAGCAACAACTGCATGGAATGATTTGAGCATGTATTGCAATGTGATACAGTGATACATTGAGTAACTGGCTTTTCTGGAGACACCAAGATGCCTTCAGGTCCTTGCTTCCATCCGGTGTTGTGAATTCTGTTTTTTCTTCTTTCTTCTGACATTTTCTGCCACGGAAACAGACCCCTTGCTTTTGATTATGATTGTGAAGGTGATGCCATGTAAGGAATATAGTCATTCAAGTACAGTAAACACAGGCTGCGTGGTGAGGTTGTTTTTCCCCCAACATTATCATTGTTACAATAGTGCTTATTCAATGAACATTTAAAAATTCCATGAGCCAGATAGCTCAGTTGTCATTTCTGCTCTGTAAGATTTCCCATAAACAAGCCATCTAGATTTAATGTGGTTAATTTCTCTGTTAATGAAACTTCCTCCTAGTAAATAAGGAAATCCCACCTCTCAGGTGCACTGTGAGACTCAGTAGGCCCAGGGTGCTTTTCCAGGCAGAACAGTGACTTCCCACAGAAGCCCACCTTGTCATCCCCGGGATTTGTGAGAATGTCCTGTCTGGCACGGGAGAATTCGGTTGCAGATGGAAGCAGGAAGAGGGCGCGGAGGAATCAGTGGTTAAGGGGGCAGAGCTTCAGTGTGGGAAGATGAGGACATTCTGGAGGTGGACGTGGGGACAGCTGGTCAGTAGTGTGAGCATACCTAATGCCCCCGACCTGTGCACCTGAACATGGTTCAGATGGGAAGTTTTGTGTGTGTTTTACCATAACGAAAATATATCTTGTTGTCTGTTTGCTTTTTGAGACAGGGTCTTTTTCATAGCTCAGGCTGGCCTTGAACTTCTATGTAGCTATCCCAGGCTGACCTTCACCTTGCAGCAATCCTCCTGCCTCAGCTAGAATTATAGATGTATGCTGCCACACCCTGCTCAAAACAAACTTGTCCAACAGAGATTAGAAATTTCTGAGTCGACCCAGCATAATCCAAAGGGGTCTTCAAGAGGCAAAGGGAGGGGCCTGGGGATTTAGCTCAGTGGCATAAGCACCTGCCTTGCAAGCAGGCAGTCATGAGTTCGATCCCCAGTACCGATAAAAATGAAAAAGAAGCAAAGGGAGGCTAAGAGCTCAGAGTCACCGTGGTGGGGTGGGAGAGGACCTTGACTGTTACTGCCAGCTCTGAAGTTGAGGAAAGTGGACAGAATCCACAAGTCCCTCCAGAAACTGGAGGCAGGAGGAAGTGGATTTTCCACTGGACCTGCAGAAAGGAAGGCAGCCTGGCCATACCGTGTCTTTAGCTCAGGAAGACCCTTGCCAGATCCAGACCTACAAAACTGAAGGGACACTGTTTCTTTAGGTTATCAAGCTTGTGGTGTCACCAGAGTCTCCACAGACCATCCAGTCTTCATTACTTGGTGGTTGGCATGGTCTGTGTCTGACCACAGAGTCCCTTTCTCCACTAGGTGACTGCTGGGTGCCCAGAAGGTGCTTTGCTTGATAAATGATGCAAACCTGATGGCATGAAGAATCAAGGGACCCACGTTTGGTGATTTCTCCATGTGATGTTTCCTCCCACTTTTCTGTGGTGCAGGATACAGAACCAGGACCCTCACACACGCTCTAGTCAGGCACCCTGACACTGAGACACACTCCCAGACTCCTCTCCTCAAGTTTTAATTGGCAGGATCAAAATTTGTCTATATTTATGATTGGTAACATGCTACTTGTTTTTGTTCCTTGGATTTTTGAGACACTTTTGCTCTGTAGTTCAGGCTGTCCTTGAACCCACAGCATTCTTGCTTCAGCCTCCCACGAGCTGGGAACAGTGGTGTGTGCCACGTCGCCCAGTCTGTCACATATTTTGATATGTGTACACACTGCAGAACAGCTAAACTGAGCTAATTCACGTGTGTTATCGCTTGGGGTTATTTTTTCTTCGTGATGACAACTCTTAAGTCAACTGAACCCTTTTTGCTTTTCAAGAATGGTTTTTGTTTTATATTGCAATGTTTAAAAAGACTGCGAGCAAGATAAGGAGCGGGAGACTGAGGCAGGACGGTTGGAGCTGGCCAGGGGCCACCCGCCAAATGTCACCTGGGGGTGGGCGTGGGCGGGGTCAAAGCTTCAGCGCTTGGCTGGCGGTTGGTCCTGCGCTGGCGGTTGGTCCTGCTCGCGGCTAGCAGGACCCCCTAGGTCTCGAGGGACGGATTCTAAACCACTGTACATTGCCCAGGAGACCCCAGTGATGGCACTGTGGACTCGCCTGTATGGCCGCATCCTGGAAAGCTCTAGGGTAAGTGGGGCCAGAACTTGTACAGCACCCGGTGAGGTGCTAGAAATCATCGTGGTCAGGTGTGCGGTCGCGGGGATCTCTTGCTGGAGGGTCGCACCTGCCTGGGGTACTACCTGGAAGTCTTCAGCGATCCCTGTCGCCCTCATTAGGCCCGTCTGTCTATGTGACACACTTAATAGCCTCTCATAATCGTACCTCTCACCTTTCCTTCCTAACCGTTCTCCACTGTACTGACCTGCTGTATTTCCATTGTGAAGCCTTCTTTTTTTTTTTTAGCTGTAAACTTAAGTTACGTTGACTGAACAGCCACTGCAGTCCTTGAAAAACATCTCTCTTGAGCCATAGCGAATCCAATTCCTTTCTGTGTTCACTAAATTCAGCCCAAGAATTCAGGCAGGCCTTCCCAGGAGCTGACTGCACACAGTCAATAAGATGTAAGATGTAAGATGCCTGTTGGATTTTGTACTTGTCAGTTTTCCTGGCTGTATACTGCTTCTGTGCTTTTCCTGAAAAAGGATTAAGTGGAATGGGCCCCTACCAGGAAATAGAAAAAACTAGGTAACAGAAGCGCACTTGTTTTCAAAACTAAAAAGTTTGCTTTTGCAAACAAAACCTCACATGGTTTGCTCTATTCTTTATAGGAGAAATAAGTAGCTCTCTTTGGGCCTTACATCTTCCCAGCGTTGTTGTCTTCTTTAGTGTCTTCATGTGGTGGCTTTCTGCATTTAATGGGTGCCTGGGTGTATCTTCACAGAGTATTTGCATCCAAAGAATAACAGATCTGTGAATAAAGAGATTGTCAGCTTTCCTTTATTAGCTACAGATACTCATAAAGTTGTAGATTTGTGGGAACCTGTATTTTCCGTATAATGACTAGTCCTGTGTTTTTGTTCCAAAATGATGTGTGAGGTGATGCCCACCATCAGTGAAGAAGGCCCTTCAGGAGGAAGTGAAAGCCATGGATCTGGCTGCCCTTCACAACCAGATGCAGATTCCCATCAGTCCATGCTAGAAGAAACACACCTTGCTCAGAGCACATTGATAGAGACTCAAGAAACATTGGCGTTGACCCAGGGGAAATTACTCGAGGTTGGTCATGAGAGAGATTCATTGCAGAGACAACTCAATACTGCGCTTCCACAGGTATGTGTGGTTTTCACCTGAAACTACAGGTTTTTTCTGTTAAGCATCTTTCTATGGTACCGTCTTTTGTTTCTGTACCTGTATATTTTGTGTAACGAACCACTTGTGAAATGATAGTTCCTGGTGTTTGTAAGCACATGCAGAGTTCCTGGGGATTCAGCTACTTAGGGCAAACAAACTAGTGTATTGTAAAGTCATGTGAAAATATTTTACTACTTTCACTCTTCCCTGAGGAACTGCTAAAGATTTGGGAATGCACTTTGAAGGTTTTTTTTTTTTTTTTTTAAATTTTTATTTAAGGAGAAAAGAAAAGAAAGAAAAAAAAAACAGTGAAGGGGTACAAGTTATACAGGTTTACAGAATAAAAAAATGCACAGTAGGAAATCACTAGTTAATGGATTACATATTGCCATCTTAGAAATAATTGTTCAAGTCACAAAATTAAAGCTTGTAGAGTGGACATTCCAACAATGATACTGCAAACAGTTCTGTTCAATGATCTAATAAAACTCTGTGATATCATTTTCTATCTTATACTTTTAAATATACATGCAGTTATATAGTTTAGAGCACTTTCTTTTCCTCTCTTTTGTACAGTGACTATTACACATTTTGGGTTTCATTGCTCCCACAGTTCTTGTTGCTTTTTTGGAAGAGAGTAAAACCAAATGTGACATAACAGAACAGAATCGGTCAAGTCAAAAGGGTGGACATAATAGATAATATAAAAAAACATAATACAAGGTGATCAACAATGGTTACCATAATGCCTCCCGCTATTTCTAATAGAATTGCCTATATCATTAGTTGTAATACAATTGAACAAAACCATAAAGAATAAAACCGACAAAACCAAAACATTGGAGATATTGTAGGTCTTCAAAAGTAGATAAAAGTCAACGAGAATGGGCGTTATAATGAATCTCATTATCTTCTCAGCTGATGCCTAAACTTTCGAACCTGATACTATCCAGCAAAACAGAATATAGGAACCTCAGTCAAAAACAAGATGGTGAGAGTAATACAGGGCTTCAAATCGAGATAATAGAAAGTCAAAGTGGGTTACTATATTATATCCTGCTATATTTTTCCCTGTAATTAAATGGATAAAAATAAAAAAGTAAATAATGGAGTGGAGATTGAGAAAAAAAAGAGGGCATAACAGCGAAACAGGGCAGATCAAAACATAACCATTTAAGCAGAATAGTGTTTCACCACCAGCTAATCCTGACCCAAAAATGGTTACCATATTGACTCCCTCCCTGAAGTCCTTGAGTACAACTTCATATACTGTAGCATTAAGTATATCAAAACAATGTAAATCCATTTAAGAGAATGACAGCATTATAGAGTATTTAGAATCGACTAACAGAAAATGAACAATGGTCTCTGTATAATCTCCTTGTCTTTAAAAGGTTTTTTCTTATACTATCGTACATAACAAAATCCAATAAGCTACAACCTGTTTAGACCATTGGAGACAGAAGAACAAAAGCTAGATGAGACTTCAAAACAAGATGGTACTAAATCAGCATTACCTATTAAGATGTCATTTTCTCCAAAAAAAGCTGTTCCTATCATCCAATCTTCTCTGTCTCATTTCTGTTGAGCTCTTTTTCTGTCAGTAGCTGTCAGTTTGTCTTCTTCGTTTTGTTCTCTGCTCTATTCGTTGTGGCCTCCCCGCCCCTATTTCTGGGTTCTTTGTATTTTTCTTTTTTTAGAATATCCTGCAATACTTTCTGTAGGGTTGAATTGGTGGTTGCAAATTCCCCCAGTTCCTCTTTATCTTGGAAGCACCTCGTTTTTCCATCAATTTCCAGGGACAGTTGTGCAGGATATCTCAATCTTGGCTGTAGATTATTATCTTTCAAAGCTTGAATTATTTCTCCCCATGCTCTTCGTGATTTGATGGTTTGTGAAGAGAAATCTGCTGTAATTTTGATGGGTCTTCCCTTGTAAGTGATCTGTTTCTTGTCTCTTACAGCTTTTAATATTCTGTTCTTGTATTGAATTTCTGGAATTTTTATTATTATATGTCTGGGTGTTTCTCTGTTAGGGTTGTAGGTAGCTGGGGTCCTGTATGCCTCATACATTTGAGTATCTTTACCTTTTGCTAAATTAGGAAAATTCTCCTGGATTATTTCTGTGAGTAGCTTTTGTAGTTCACTTGTTTGTGTTCCTACTTCTTCTTTTATGTTCTTAATCCTTAAGTTATGGCTCCTCTTATCATCTTCTTGTCTTTGTATTATTGCTGTGTGTTTCTTTGTTATTTTTAAGAAGTTTTTCATTTCATTCTCCCATGTTTCAAGTCTGCCCTCCAATTCAGATAGTCTGTCCTTAGTTTCTTTCAAGCTGTTATGCCAGTCTTGGGTAGACTTCTTGATTTCTTGATAGTCCCTTTGCACCTGCTTCACATACTCAATGCTTTCTCTGTTTTCTCCATCAAGCAATTCTCCCCTCTTTTTCTGTTCTTCCACTCCACCATCTGCTTTTTCCTGGGTGGTGCTTAGCATTTCTCTAACTATTCTGCATATTCTAGCTTCAGGTCATTGATAACTTCATTCCTGAATTGGTCTATGAGGCTCTCTAAATGGCGCTTAATGTATATTGGTACAGTGTCCACTATTGCCTGATTCTCAGGATTGGGGGTCGAGGAGCCTTTTTTGTTGCTTCCCTTCCCCATATTTTCTGTTCCTTATGAAATGTAATCTTACACAGGAGGCCCGGCTTCCCTGCCTGTCAGCTACAGCTTGATCGAATTGCGCTGGCTAGTTGTTCCAGCTCACTGCTGCGCCCCAGGGAGTTGCGGAGGAGGCAGCCTACGCAGAAGTCGGTCGCTCCTCCGGGCCACCGTCAGGCTCTGGGATCTGGGCTAGGCCAGCCTAGGGGGTCCGCGAGCAGCGTCCCTCCAGCCAGGCACCTTTCACCAATCCCGTCCGAGAGGGAAATGCGCGGCTGCAGTTGCCACCGCGCCCTGCTCTTACAGGACTGCCCGCGCCCAGAAAATCCTCCGCTGGAGTCAGACTGCGGTAGGGAGTCAGTTCCTCACTCACCTCGCCTCCAGTCAGCCTTCCTTCCTGTCCGTCGCATTTCCGACTCCATTCCCGAGCTCGGCGGTCGCGTCTCTCCTTGCTGAGCCGCTGTGGAGGTAGCCGGCCGCCGCGTGGCGGGAAATCCAAACCGCGGTTTCCAATGGCGCGGAGTCGAGCCTCCACACCGAGATTTTTCTGTTCCTATTTTAGCGCCAGGACTGTATTCCAAGTTGGATTCTCTCAGCCCAGTTTGTTCCTGAGTCAGCAGAGCATATCTCTACTGGTTCGTATCTCCTTAGTCCGCATCATTCCTGGCCTCTGAGCTGAGCCTTTAGAGAGCGTTCAGTAGTTGCTGTTGTCTGTCCGCCATGTTCTCCAGCCGTCCTCTCTTTGAAGGTTTTTTAAAAAGACTTGAAACAACAACCAAGCGACATGGTCCTTGGTTTCTTTGATTCTGTTTTGTGAGATCTCTTGCTTAATGTAGGCTTCCCATGGCTTGTATCTCAGGAATTGTATGTGTGTTTAGGATTGTATCTCAAGGATTTCCAGTTTTCTAATGAAATTTAGTAGATAATGATTTTTTTTTTGTATCAGGAATCGAACTGAGGACCTTGCTCTTGCCAAGCAGATGCTTGTTGCTGCTGAGCTATTATCTGTAGCCCTTGAAATTTGGTAGACAAGGATTGATTTCACAGAGAAAGATTTTTGCAGACTATCTTTGTCAGAATACCCAGAATACCGGTGATTGTAAATCACATTTATAATAAGGGATAGAAAACTGGAAATTGATTCTTTAGGAACTTTCTCTTTTTAGATTAGACTTTTAAAGTTTAAAACAACTGGGCTAGGGATTTAGTTCAGCAGCATAAGCTCTTGCCTGGCAAGCATAAAGTCATGAGTTCGATCCCCAGTACCAAAAACAAATATATAAAAATAAAAACCACCTCAAAGTTGGAAACAACTGTAGTTTTTTCTTTAATTATATTACATTCAGCCCAGTATCTCAAAACTGCCTCTTGTGGAATTAAATGGAGACTGAATGGCATGCAAAGGGAGAACATAGTAAAACTAGAAAAATGTAAGGTAAATGGTACACAGCATAGTGGGAGATAAGTAGCTTATTATTTAGGTGTTTATAAGCCAGCAAGTACCATTTTACTTGTTCATAATAGTTGCCTTTCTGGTCCATTTAGGTAGATCTGAATAAGCATACATCTATGCTGTCATGATGAGTCTGCAGTGATAAATCGGCAAATGAACACTAGCCCTCATGTATTTGTTGGCTATAGTCAATTCTCCTGAAAGATTAATAAGCCAAGCATTTGAATTTCCTTTTTAGAAACAATAATTTGATGTTAGTGCTATATGTTTCTTTTGTTGGTTAGAGAATCAGTAAATTGTTTGCTTTTGTGGAGCGTAGGGTTGAAGGAGGGCTTCATTTGTGCTTGGCTAAGTGCTCTGTCACTGAGCTCCATCCCTCTTTGCCCATGTTAAGATTCCTCATTGGGATCTTATAAATGACAGAGCTTATTTGGGTCAGATTTTACTATAGAAGATTATAATGACTGGCCAACTTGTATTTGTGTAGGGAGGTAATGGGAAGCAGTTTATGTGAAGGATTTTATTGTATATACACGTTTGTAAATTTTTCATGGTTTAGTTTTGTTTTTGTAATATATTGACTATAATTTGAGATATATCTATAGTTTATCTAATACATAGTTAATCTATTCAGTTTTTGGAAAAAACAGGCAGGCAGGACCTGGGATGGTAGTGACAAGAGTTTTGTAGAGTTGGTTTCAGGCAGTGGGTGTTGTCACACCTGCTGATGAGGTGGTTGCCTGGTGATTTGTTTCTGGCTGCTGCTCAGTGTAGCAGCCTGGAAATGCTTGGTTGAGTGCATAATGTGATGATGCCACCAGGTCCTGTCACTGTCTGAGCACCTGATGCAGCATTTCAGAAACACAG